AAAACCATAATACCAAAAAATGTACGCTAGGTACGGAGTGTGCAGAGTAGCAGCGCCTCCTGAGAAATTAACATAATTTTCCATCTTGTAATTGTAATGACAGCCATCACTCATCCAATATGGCTAATCAGTTACCCACCAGCCCCCTCATCACACGTGTATTAGACTCGTTTTGTCCGAGGGAAAGAGGGAGGCTCCAATCCCTAATCTTTGAAATTCAATTAATTTGTTACAACACTTGTCTGACTTAATCATTTTTGTCACAGTGGTTTATCTTCCCAAAATTTATATTTTTTTGTATTTATATTAAAATTTCTATTTTTTGTATTTATATTAAAATTTCTATTTTTTGTATTTATATTAAAATTTCTATTTTTTTGTATTTATATTAAAATTTCTATTTTTTGAACAGCTTCGTACCGTGTGTCAAAAAAAATTTGTGAACTCTGTATTTTGATCAGATACACACACAGCCTACACACATAGCCGGTGGCTGAGCGGGCAGGAACACTGGACGCGTAATCCTGTGGTCCCGGGTTCGATCCCGGCGCCGGAGAGAAACAATGCGCAGAGTTTCTTTCATCCTGATGCCCCTGTTACCTAGCAGTAAATAGTTACCTGGGAGTTAATCAGCTGTCACGAGCTGCTTCCTGGGGGGGGGGGTGGAGGCCTGGTCGAGGACCGGGCCGCGGGGACACTAAGCCCCGAAATCATCTCAAGATAACCTCAAGAAGACAACGTACACAACATCTTCAAGTTGATAAGATTATCAACTTATCAACTTATTATAAACACATTTAAGTTGTGGAGACCCCGTCAACTTATCTAGCTTGATATTCCCCTAAAGTCTCGTTCATTTAAGTTGTCGTAACCAATGGAGGACTTGGTGCTATAGGCCTATATGACGCCACTCTTAAGAGCGACCTCTTCTCTTTAAATCCTCTTAAAACGATCCCCTGAAGCATCAAAAACATGTCAAGGCCATGATTGATCCCATGATTCACAGCTCTGGTAGCAGGGATAACTTTTACAGTATAAGGGAACGGCAACAGCAACAGGGGTCCACTACAGTATAAGGGAACGGCTACAGCAACAGGGGGTCCACTACAGTATAAGGGAACGGCTACAGCAACAGGGGGTCCACTACAGTATAAGGGAACGGCTGCAGCAACAGGGGGTCCACTACAGTATAAGGGAACGGCTACAGCAACAGGGATCCACTACAGTATAAGGAAACAGTTACAGAAAAAGGGATCCACTACAGTATAAGGGGACGGCTACAACAACAGGGATCCACTACAGTATAAGGGGACGGCTACAGCAACAGAGATCCACTACAGTATAAGGGAACGGCTACAGCAACAGGGATCCACTACAGTATAAGGGGACGGCTACAGCAACAGGGGGTCCACTACAGTATAAGGGAACGGCTGCAGCAACAGGGGGTCCACTACAGTATAAGGGGACGGCTACAACAACAGGGATCCACTACAGTATAAGGGGACGGCTACAGCAACAGAGATCCACTACAGTATAAGGGAACGGCTACAGCAACAGGGATCCACTACAGTATAAGGGGACGGCTACAGCAACAGAGATCCACTACAGTATAAGGGAACGGCTACAGCAACAGGGATCCACTACAGTATAAGGGAACAGCTACAGCAACAGGGATCCACTACAGTATAAGGAAATAGCTACAGCAACAGAGATCCACTACAGTATAAGGGAACGGCTACAGCAACAGGGATCCACTACAGTATAAGGAAACAGCTACAGCAACAGAGATCCACTACAGTATAAGGGAACGGGTTCAGCAACAGGGATCCACTACAGTACAAGGAAACAGCTACAGCAACAGGGATCCACTACAGTATAAGGAAACAGCTACAGCAACAGGGATCCACTACAGTATAAGGAAACAGCTACAGCAACAGAGATCCACTACAGTATAAGGGAACGGCTACAGCAACAGGGATCCACTACAGTATAAGGGAACAGCTACAGCAACAGGGATCCACTACAGTATAAGGAAACAGCTACAGCAACAGGGATCCACTACAGTATAAGGGAACAGCTACAGCAACAGGGATCCACTACAGTATAAGGGAACAGCTACAGCAACAGAGATCCACTACAGTATAAGGAAATAGCTACAGCAACAGGGATCCACTACAGTATAAGGAAACAGCTACAGCAACAGGGATCCACTACAGTATAAGGGAACAGCTACAGCAACAGGGATCCACTACAGTATAAGGGAACAGCTACAGCAACAGGGATCCACTACAGTATAAGGAAACAGCTACAGCAACAGGGATCCACTACAGTATAAGGAAACAGCTACAGCAACAGGGATCCACTACAGTATAAGGGAACAGCTACAGTAGATGAATTTTGACTGTTTCCTGATCGTAAAAAGAGTTAACTGATGAGAAACTACAGGTTAAGAACCTGAGAAAGAGTTAACATAGTGAGAGGCAGGTATACTTGTGTTAACTCTAGAACTATCAGAAGCTAAGTGTGTAATTTCTGGGATTGTCAGCAGTTATACATGTCTACACTCAGGAACTGTCAGCAGGTATACATGTCTACACCCAGGAACTGTCAACAGGTATACATGTCTACACCCAGGAACTGTCAACAGTTATACATGTCTACACCCAGGAACTGTCAGCAGGTATACATGTCTACACCCAGGAACTGTCAACAGTTATACATGTCTATACCCAGGAACTGTCAACAGTTATACATGTTATGTATTCAAGAAAATTTGTTTTCATACATCAAATACAAGTGTATTTTGACTCTGCTTCTTAATGCTTCTAAAACGTTTGCTTATTTAGTAAATAATTAAAACTATGAGGTAGGCACTACAGGTAATTAGTTGTATTCACTACACAGATTACATAATCAGTTACCCTATTTAAATTGGATGGAAAGTTATATTTAATTGGGAACTTTTTATTCTTTCCCCTCACGGATTTCTCATTGATTTGGTAGAAAATTTTCTTAAGAAGTCTTGTAGCGTCGAGGATAACCAAACCATCAGGCCCCGGTTCGATTCCTGGGGCAGGTTATCTTGAGATGATTTCGGGGCTTTAGTGTCCCCGCGGCCCCGTCCTCGACCAGGCCTCCACCCCCAGGAAGCAGCCCGTGACAGCTGACTAACTCCCAGGTACATATTTACTGCTAGGTAACAGGGGGTATCAGAGTGAAAGAAACTCTGCCCATTGTTTCTCGCCGGCGCCCGGGATCGAACCTGGGACCACAGGATCACCCGTCCAGTGTTCTGTCCGCTTAGCCACCAGCTCAGTCCCTGGCGGGGCAGTAGAGAGATTTTTAAGACGCCGCTTCCCTTCAACCTGATGCATCTGTCGACCTACGAGCTGGTACCCCCTGGAGTTATGCAACTGTTGTGGGTTGCATTTTAGTAACCCCTCTAAACGCACGTTAGCGACCACGGGCCAGATTCACGAAAGCACTTACGCAAGCACTTACGAACCTGTACATCTTTTCTATATCTTTGGCGGCTTTGTTTCCAATTATTAAACAGTTAATGAGCTCCGAAGCACCAGGAGGCTGTTTATAACAATAACAACAGTTGATTGGCAAGTTTTCACGCTTGTAAACTGTTTAATAAATGTAACCAAAGCCGTCAAAGATTGAGGAAAGATGTACACGTTCGTAAGTGTTTGCGTAACTGCTTCGTGAATCTGGCCCCAGATCGTCAAAATCGCAATGGTTCAGGTGAAATTAAGAGCAACGTTCTACTGACGCTTCGTCAATCCGTCAACCTCGATAGGTGACAAGTTCAACGTCAAGTTTCGTACGCTTCCGGTCAGGCAAAAACCACTACGAATTTAACGATTGGTTAAAGTGTTTCCTTGCTGAGTGCGTAGCTGAAGTTCATATATTTTTTTCTGGTATTAAACTCAAGTTCCATTCATTAAAGAAAATATATCTGCATCATAAAGAACACGAACAAGGAAAACGCCTATAAGAATATACAACAAAACACTATGATTATTGATTTTTTTTGTATATCAGAAAATGAATTTTGATACACACTTTTACTGTTATTGAATCGCATTAGCGATTTCCTTCATGCAATAATAATAATATATATTTTGGCGGAAGTCTACTTCCTCAACATTCGTCAAGTGACAGACTTCAAACATATGTTGATGGGGGGAGGGGGGGGGGGGGAATAATATATGCATGCTACATTGCACACCTGCTTGTTGAAAGGTATTTTATATTTGATGATGTGATGATTTGAAGAGGATCAGTGTGTTATATTTTTGTATGTAAATCTGATATTTCGTCCTCAAGGATCGGGTTGTGACTCAAGATTGTTCTCACACTCGAGGGGCGGTACCCGGCAGCTCCCGGGACACATTCCCCTCCTTTCCCCCCTTCCTCTATCTCTCTCTCTCTTTTTTTCTCCCCCCTGCCCTCTTTTCCCCTCTCTCCACCTACCTGTTCCTTCCCTACCCTCTCCCCTTTCCACTTCCCTCCTTGTCTTGTACGTCTGGCTACCTTTGCAAGTTTTCTTGGCAGTGGTTCGAAGCTACTATACACCTTACAGTGTTGTGTCTACTCCAAGAGTAGACACAACTACTTTTGTATGGTAGATGCTTTAGGGAAGGCGGTCTCCTTCACTGTGTAGCGCCCTCTTGGTCTCCTGTCCCTGTGGTGTGTGTGTGTGTGTGTGTGTGTGTGTGTGTGTGTGTGTGTGTATGTGTGTGTGTGTGTGTGTGTGTGTGTGTGTGTGTGTGTGTGTGTGTGTGTGTGTGTGTGTGTGTGTGTGTGTGTGTGTGTGTGTGCGCGAGCGAGCGAACGTGCATATTTGTGTTTGTCTGTGTTTCATAACACATGCTTGTATTCATTTGAGTGCTTGTCTTAATTTGAGTGCTTGATTATATTAACTTGAGCGCTAGCTTGAGTTTAACACCACAATCAAATATAACACAATATAAAAAAAAAAAACTTTTTAGCCATCAAAGAGAAAATAAAGATCTAAAACTTAAGACCAGTGATTTAAAACACATAGGAGCATTGCGTACGACCACTCTACCCGACGACCACTCTACCCGACGACTACTCTACCCAACGACCACTCTACCCAACGACCACTCTACCCGACGACTACTCTACCCGACGACTACTTTAACCCGACGACCATTCTACCCAACGACCACTCTACCCGACGACTACTTTAACCCGACGACCATTCTACCCAACGACCACTCTACCCGACGACTACTCTACCCGACGACTACTTTAACCCGACGACCATTCTACCCAACGACCACTCTACCCGACGACTACTTTAACCCGACGACCATTCTACCCAACGACCACTCTACCCGACGACTACTCTACCCGACGACTACTTTAACCCGACGACCATTCTACCCAACGACCACTCTACCCGACGACTACTTTAACCCGACGACCATTCTACCCAACGACTACTCTACCCGACGACTACTCTACCCGACGACTACTTTAACCCGACGACCATTCTACCCAACGACCATTCTACCCAACTACCACTCTACCCGACGACTACTCTACCCGACGACTACTTTAACCCAACGACCATTCTACCCAACGACCATTCTACCCGACGACTACTCTACCCGACGACTACTTTAATCCGACGACCATTCTACCCAACGACCATTCTACCCGACGACTACTCTACCCGACGACTACTCTACCCGACGACTACTTTAACCCGACGACCATTCTACCCAACGACCATTCTACCCGACGACTACTCTACCCGACGACTACTTTAACCCGACGACCATTCTACCCAACGACCATTCTACCCGACGACTACTCTACCCGACGACTACTTTAACCCGACGACCATTCTACCCAACGACCATTCTACCCGACGACTACTCTACCCGACGACTACTTTAACCCGACGACCATTCTACCCAACGACCATTCTACCCAACGACCACTCTACCCGACGACCATTCTACCCAACGACCATTCTACCCGACGACTACTCTACCCGACGACTACTTTAACCCGACGACCATTCTACCCAACGACCATTCTACCCGACGACTACTCTACCCGACGACTACTCTACCCGACGACTACTTTAACCCGACGACCATTCTACCCAACGACCATTCTACCCGACGACTACTCTACCCGACGACTACTCTACCCGACGACTACTTTAACCCGACGACCATTCTACCCAACGACCATTCTACCCAACGACCATTCTACCCGACGACCACTCTACCCAACGACTACTCTACCCAACGACCAGAAACTAGGTATAGAGACTAATCACCCCCCCCCCCTATTGTGTCGGCTACCAGCTCTGGGTGCTGGGTCATCCTGCCCCCCACCCCCCCCACCCTCCGACGTAATCAGCATTCATCAAAAATGTTTACTGCTAATTTTCTGGACAAAGCAAATGTATTAACTATCACCCCTTCTCCTCCTCCTCCTCCTCCTCCTTCCCCCCTCCCACCCCACCACTCCCCCCCCCCCTTCTTCTTCTCTCCCCATCTCCAAATGGAAAGGGGCTGACGAGGGCAAAAACCTGATCACCACAACCTGGTTGTCCCCCCCCCCCCCAAAACGGACAGAGAGAGAAGACGCCCATAAGATATATATATTAAAGAAACAGACAACCACGTTGCGGTGGCCCCTACAAGACGGCCTTAGAGCAAGATATTGATAAGGAGTTATAGCTGAGAGAGGGAGTGGGGGGGGGGGGTCCTGGGGTGAGGGGGGAGGGGGGGAAGGGACTAGGGGTGATGGGAGGGGGCACTGGGGGGGTGTAGGAGGGGGGGGTGCCGCTGGGGTGATGGAGAACCTTCACAACGCAGAATATCAGGTTTGGCCTCAATTATCTCTGGAAATGCTCAGGTTGGAAACTCAAATAAAGTGTTCAGGATAATTCATAGTTGCGAAGACCTAAAAACATCAAATTTCTATGAACTCGGAGCCCCCAAATAAGAGCGATTACGCCATTAGAGAACATAATCTGAGAAGACTTGCAGCGAGATCGCACCTGATATAAAGGAGAAATAATTCTTATCGCAGTGGCTACGGGATGAGAGGACTGTTGTAGACGGCGCTGAAGTCACTACCACAGCCCGAGACAGCATCACCGTCTGAACTGATCCCCAAATGAGACGGAGAAGGGCGGCTCTTAATGTCCGAGACGGCTTCCTCTTGCCCCCTTATTAGGGGGCAAGAGATGATACCTTCTCTTTGGTATGAAGTATATAGCCTCTGGAGCTACACACCAGGTAAAACAGGTCTGGTGTGCGGCGTATATAGAGACCCTCCGGTGGACAACGCTCAGCACCGCTCCCGTGCCAGGTAAGTCCACTACGGGCTCACCATAGCCCGTGCTACTTGGAACTTGTTCTAAGTAGCTGAATCTATAACAACACCGGACAACGCTGGTCTGACCGAGGTAACGCTGGAGTCACACAGGGCCCTCAGTGAGGCACTTAGATAAGTTCTTGCGTGAAGTGCCGGACCAACCAGGCTGTGGTGGGTATGTAGGCCTGCGGCGGGCCGCTCCAAGCAACAGCCTGTTGGACCAAGTTATCACAAGTCAAGCCTGGCCTCGGGCCGGGCTTGGGGAGAAGAAGAACTCCCAGAACCCCATCAACCAGGAATGCTCCAAGAGGCCCCTTAATCTTCATGGTAATTTGAGTTGTCATCCTTGAGCTGTTGTCATTGTGTCTTCTCGTGATTTTGTTTCCAATCACCTGGGCTGGACGGTAGAGCGACGGTCTTGCTTCATGCAGGTCGGCGTTCAATCCCCGACCGTCCAAGTGGTTGGGCACCATTCCTCCCCTCGTCCCATCCCAGATCCTTATCCTGACCCCTTCCCAGTGCTATATGGTCGTGATGGCTTGGCGCTTTCCCCTGATATATTAAAAAAAATCGTGATTTTGTTAACTTTCATGTATGTAAATACACAGACGATGGCCACTCTTGTAATGAAAATACTACTATTGCTACACTACAATTACTTGGGCTGGACGATAGAGCAACGGTCTCGCTTCATGCAGATCGGCGTTCAATCCCCGACCATCCAGGTGGTTGGGCACCATTCCTTCTTCCCCCCCCCCCCCCCCTGTTCCCAGTGCCATATAGTCGTGATGGCTTGGCGCTTTCCCCTGAGAGTTGTCTTGTCTTGTCTTACTCTACAGTCACCAAAACAACTACAACTGTTATTGACTTACTGCTAATATATTATATATATATATATATATATATATATATATATATATATATATATATATATATATATATATATATATATATATATATATATATATATATATATATATATATATAATTACATATATACATCCCATTCTCCTGTTGAGTAAGTACTTAAGGTAACGATGAGGACAATAGTACATATATAACGTAATGGACAGTTGGATAGTAGAAATCGTTACTATTGAATTTGGACAAACCGGGAAAGGTTTTATATTTACGTTGCAAAGACAACCTAACCTAACCTCCTTAGGCCTAATACACACTATCTCAGGCCTAATATAGTACATATATGGGCTATACTAGGCCTAGAAAAGTTCCAATTTGTTTTCATAGTCTCAAAAAATAAAGCTTAAAGTGAATAGTACCAAATTCTACTACCTAATCGCTTAGTACGTTAATGTGTAACTATGTTCACCATAGCACAAACAAAGTACTATCTAAGCAGGAGGATGGTTGATATATAGCCACACGGGACAAATTTAACAAGAAATAACATATTTGACCCACACAAATAGGTAACTTATAGATTGGGAATACTAAGGAGCAAGAGGGCTATGAGCCATTGTAACTTGCGAACCGTTGACTGAAAGGCGAGGCCCGGGAGCTGAAGACTGGCCACGTTAATGCATCTCCGGAAACATATATCCATAAAATCACTTCAGCAGCGAATGCTAAGCTGGTAAACATTAAGACCTTTCAATAAACTAAACATTGCGTTAAAAATGCTCTATACAGTGTATGTCAGACCACTGCTAGAGCATGCAGCACCAGCAGGGGGGAACACAACGTATGTCAGACCACTGCTAGAGCATGCAGCACCAGCAAGAGGGACACAACATATGTCAGACCACTGCTAGAGCATGCAGCGCCAGCAGGGGGGAACACAACGTATGTCAGACGACTGCTAGAGCATGCAGCACCAGCAAGAGGGACACAACGTATGTCAGACCACTGCTAGAGCATGCAGCGCCAGCAGGGGGGAACACAACGTATGTCAGACCACTGCTAGAGCATGCAGCGCCAGCAGGGGGGAACACAACGTATGTCAGACCACTGCTAGAGCAAGCAGCACCAGCAGAAGGAACACAACGTATGTCAGACCACTGCTAGAGCATGCAGCGCTAGCTTCCCTGCTCAGAGTCTGAGAAAGGTCTAGTCCAAGGTCTCAGAGGATTGGGTTACCATGTTATGCTAAATAGCAAACGTAACACTATTTTCTTTCCCCAATTTTGGTGCTTCAGGGCCCCCTCTCACCAGTTATGGTGTGAAAGAGTGAACTCAAAATATCTCGCCTCTCCAGCATCTCTGGTGTCAGAGTTGTACCAATGTGGGTACCAGTGTGGGGTACCAGTGTGGGTACCAGTGTGGGTACCAGTGTGGGTACATGTGTGGGTACGTGTGTGGGGTACCAGTGTGGGTACATGTGTGGGGTACCAGTGTGGGTACATGTGTGGGGTACCAGTGTGGGTACATGTGTGGGTACATGTGTGGGTACATGTGTGGGTACATGTGTGGGTACGTGTGTGGGTACATGTGTGGGTACGTGTGTGGGTACGTGTGTGGGTACATGTGTGGGTACATGTGTGGGTACATGTGTAGCGATACAAGAGCCAATTTTGCATTTATGCTTATAGGTATCAACTTTGGCAGAGAGACTGATAATCTCTTCATTTATTTTGGACCCCCATATCCATCCCGTGGGCGGTAGTGGACCCCATATCTATCCCGTGGGCGGTAGTGGACCCCATACCCATCCCGTGGGCGGTAGTGGACCCCATACCCATCCCGTGGGCGGTAGTGGACCCCATACCCATCCCGTGGGCGGTAGTGGACCCCATACCCATCCCGTGGGCGGTAGTGGACCCCATACCCATCCCGTGGGCGGTAGTGGACCCCATACCCATCCCGTGGGCGGTAGTGGACCCCATACCCATCCCGTGGGCGGTAGTGGACCCCATACCCATCCCGTGGGCGGTAGTGGACCCCATACCCATCCCGTGGGCGGTAGTGGACCCCATACCCATCCCGTGGGTATAGGGTCGCAGTATCCAGAACCACGAGTCAACGAGTACTTAAGTGGCCACTTACTAAACCCGTACATCTTTCTTCAGCCACCAGACCTCAGTTCACACGTATTAACCAGTTTACGAGCTCCTAGGCGCTACGAGCTTGTCCTTTGACAATAACTACCTGGAGATACGAGGTTTCAGAGATCGTAAAATTATCAATAAATACAGACCAAGTCGCCAAGATCCTCATTTTTGAGTTTGTAACACCCAAAAAATTCACAAAATCCTTCCGTCATAAAATGCTGTTTACACTACAACGATATTTCCATTTTTAGCATTTGTATATATATTGTATATATT